TACATGAGATGCCTGTGTGTGCAGAGCAGAGCACCCGGGGGGGAGCTGGAGCTAAGGCCTCCCTGTGCATGGCTCTCCTGGGCTCCGTGGCTGCCTGGGTTGTAAGAGAACCGTCCATTTCTCCAAGTGGACCGAGAGCCTCCACCATCACACCACGTGTGCCTAACGGACAAGTGCCCCGCACTGAAGATGCCATCGAGCAGTCAGTACTTTTGCTTTGTACCAAAATACCTCCCCCTCTCTGCTGCACCCCCAGATCGCTGCCGGCATGACCACGCCAAGACCTCAGGTTCTGTTTACAGCTGCGATGGCCACCTGCGTGCTGCACGGAGTCCTCACCTTCTACCACAGCATCACCAGCTACTGGGGTCTGTTTTAAACCCAGGTTTCTAGGGATACAATTTACACACGGGGAAGGGGAGCCCCATTAATTGCACAGTTCTGAATTTTCCTAAGTACTCAGGGCTCTGTGGCCACCACTGCCTTAAAGATTCGAAAACTAAAGGTTTCTATCATTCCACTAGTCTCCCCAGTGCCCCTCTGTGGTCAGCCCCTTCCTCCACCCTCAGCCACGACGGGCCTCTGTTCTTTCCCTACGGTTTGGCTTTTCCCAAAAAGCTGCATACATGGCATCGTGCAGTGCGTAGGCTTTGAGTCTGGCTGTTTTCACCTAACATCCTGGTGTGCATCACCCATGGTTAGCTACCCACTGTGAGGCTCTACGTCTTGGACGTTTGCTTTCGCGTCAAAGAGACTAGCTGACTGGCTCCAGGTCATCGTGGCGATGAAGAAAACAAATTCTTGATCTGGGCCTTTTCATAAAGCGGAGGCCTGGGAAGGCGGGGACCAACCATCTCTGTCTGCCCAGGACTAAGGGGGTTCCGGGGATGCTGGACTGTCAGTGGGAAAACCAGGCAAGTCCCGGGCAAACCGCGATGGCCCTGCCACCCTCCTCGGAAAAGCTGCCTCTAAGAGGCCGCCTGGCCAGCAGCAGGGGCTCTGGCTGAGCGGACGGACAGCTGACTCTCCTCTCTCGGTTTAGTCCCCGGGCTGATCTGCGAGCTGCTGGTTGAGAGCTCAGCGCACCCCACCAGGCCGGCAGCTGTCTCTGAAGTCCCTGGGCGGGGCTCACGGAAGTGAGGGGAGAACTAGGGGCCTGTTTAGAACTACGGCAGAGCCTCTGCTGCTTTGGGTGCCACTCCCCACTCCTCCCTAATGTCTGACACCCTGGGCTCATTCTGTTTTTTACACCCGCCGAATGCCGTGTATGCAGGGCAGTGCTGGCTCCTACGTTTTCTATACGTTCTTCCTACTCTTCCCTCTCCATGGGGTTTCTGGTCCATTTGTTTTGAGACTCACTCAGGAGAAGGCGAGAGCCCAGCGATACAAAATTAGTAAAGAGCTTGAAGTTCTTGTGAGAATGTCAGGGTCTCTCCTATATAAACTTCCTGCGACATCAAAGAAAAGTTGGGCAGGGCCAGGATGTGGCTCCAGGCAGAAGGCTTAGGAGCGAGCACTTCCTCACCCATCTCCTTTTCCACTGACATCCACCGGAAGCCCCGGGGATAATGCATGGATGCTCTCTCTCTGAGGAGCGAGGCTTCCTGGGAACAGGCGGAGTATCCTCAACTCAGAGCTCCCAGTAGCTTCGAAAAGCACGTGATGGCCACAGCTGGTGCCCAAATTAACTGTGAGGACCCTCCCCCCCCCGCCCCCCGCCAAGAAGGCAGAAACTGGTGGGGTCAGAACCATGTCACAGACGTTTCAGAGCATCTGCCTCCGAGTTAACTGAACATTGTCTTTCCTCACAGTAATACCAGTAGCTCTGACGAGGTATTCCACCAAGCAGCCAGTGCAGCAGGTTAGTAATCATTATCCTCATGTGGACAGATGAGGAAACAAAGCCCAGAGAGATTAATTGACCTGCCCAAGGTCGCACAGCGAGTTAGTGGCAAAGGCTAGATTAGCCACCCCGAGCCCCGGAGTGCCCAGGCCGGCACCTGGCTCCATGAGATCCCTCAGCCTTCCATCCAGAGCGTCTCGGGAGCCCTGGAGGCCAGATGAGCTGCTGCAGAGGGCACAGGCAGGCTCATACTCACAAGCAGAAACCTGCAGGATCCTTCTCTGTACCACCAGACAGCAACACCCCTGTGCTGGAACAGACAGAAATAAGGCTCAAGTCGGGAAGGCTCGGGGCGTCTCCGCTTCCGGAATGTGGCTTTGAGATGGTGCTTCATTTCCCTTTGCGACCCAGGTCTGCTCTCGAGGGGCCAGAGCTTGGGAGGATACGTAGTGCCACTCCCTGCCATTCATTCATTCATTCATTCATTCCCCAATCGTGTCCCAGGGGCTGGGGGAAGGACCCTTGGAGGAGAAAGACAAGACCCCCATCTGGAAGGAGTTCAATCTAACAGGGGAAGCATATATATATGACAACGAGACATTAATTCAACAAATACTTGGTAAGTACCTACAGTGTGACAGGCACTGATGAAGCTATATCTAACGTTGCGGGAGAAGACAGAGAAACACAGGGGGGCTTCCTGGAAGAGGAGGCATGGGGCTCAGTCCTGAAGATTGAGGCACTAAGACATGAGTCTGAAATGGCTTTGAACACTTTTTCTAAATAAACCCCAGAATTCTACCCTTTAAAGAAACTCAACTTTCAGAATTCTTCCATCCTGTTTCTGACTTTCTGAGTTCTCGCTTCATCTCCTTAGGCCTTAGTTGACCTATCTCTCAAATGGGAGTGTTCCAGAGGGTGGCTCTTTGGAGATATGTTCCTACAAAAGTCCTTGAGAAACAAATTCCTGGCACGGCCGATGGCATTCGCTTTCCCACTAAGGCTGCTGCTCTCTGCTCTCAGCAGGAAATTGGTTTTATTTATAAGAATCACAATTCTAAACTGACCTTTGTTGGGCTACCCACATTCCCTCCCCCACTTCCCTCCCTCACTTCAGACCGCCTCCTCCCTGCAAAGAGTCCACAGTGACCACAGAGCACCCAGCATTGACGAGTGCTCAGGAAATCAAGTAGATGAAGACTGGAGGCTGGTTTCTAGATGGGGACACTGAGGCCAGGAGAGCTCAGTGATAGGCCCAGGGAAACAGAACATGTAGGTCTCCTGGTTCCGAAGCCACTGTTTTCTTCGTTGCACCGTGACTGCTCCCCCCACATCTCTGTCTGGGCTCTGGGCAGACGCGCCACCCTCCTTAGCTTGCGGAAAGTCTCCCTTCTCTGAACGACAGAAGTCTTTAGAGACACATTTCCCATCATGAAAGGGGTTGGGAAGAAAACTGGCACAGCTTCCTCAGCTTTGAAGCTCGTTGGCCCCTCCTGGCCCTTTGTGCTGGGAACCAGCCCAGTTCCCAGAGCTCCTACCCCTTAGGAAGAGGGGCAGGGCCCAAAGAATGCCCCCACCCTGCCTGGCCAGTCAGCACCAAAGGTGACCCCTCCGTATTTCTGTTTCAGACTATTTCACTGTCAAAGCATCAAGGGCTCCCACACAAAGAGCTTCAAAGTCAGGAAGGCTCAAGGTCAAGTACAATCATGAGCGAGCCCTGAGCCTAGGATTCTGAAGCATCACATTTGAGATTGTTTTAAAGCAGTGTTTCCCACAGTCTCCTAAAGCCCATAATCGCTTAAGGTGCATAACATTCGGTTTTCTGCGGGGAATCACAAGCTTTGGTTGAAGCACACACCATGTGGGCACGTGGTTGAGGGGGGGAGAGGGGGTTGAGGGGGAGGGTCCATTTCACTCCCCACTTGCTTTTCATTTTCCAGGTGAGGAAGGTATGTATGTAATTACTTATCTTTTTTCCCAATGGTTCTCAACTTTGGCTACACATTAAACTCACCTGGGGACTTTTACAAACTCAAATGCCTAAGACCAATGAACTCAGAATGTCTACATCCATGTTGTTTAAGCACCCCCGAGGAGTCCCAGGTGTGGCTAAGTTTAAGAACCACTAGAACTTCAACAGGGAAAAACCTGGGCTCCTAAGTGTGGAGACACAACAGAACACACAAGCCCCCTGCAGGGAAAATGAATATTATCCACCAGCCTCTTATTCTTTCAGCAGCTTTTCTGTTTCAGGCCTTCTTGACCACAGATTTCACCCCACATAAGCTTTCACGCATTTTCGCTGGCTTGCCGCCTCACCGCTCACCTCTACCTTGCAGCACCCTAAGACGCCTGCCCTCTCCTGGGAGTCAGGTGCTCCAGCTCAGAGACAAAAACACAGGGGATGCAAATTCAAGGGACTCTCTCCACCCTGCGTGTCTGGAGCCAAGAGTGACGCAATCTCAGGAAGCGCTGGCGCGAACGTTCCCAGTGTAATCCTCCGCAGGTCCGTCACTTCTGGCCCTGGACACGCTCACCAGCTGGAAGAGCAGCAGGAACCAGAATCCTTGACCACATGGCGAGCTCAGCCAATGGGCTCACGCAGCCAGGCAAGGATGCCCTTAGGAGAGTCACAAGTATGTAAACATCCAAGGAGAGGAATCTTCTCCAGGCGCCCGGTAGAACTTAGCACGGCTTACACAACGCCAGAGAGACTCACAAACAAGATGCAGCAACGCTACCATCACTTGTAACGACAACTCCCTGGGAAGACACTCCCATCCCTGCTTTTGCTTGAGAAGCCACGGCTGGCTAGCAGAATGGCTTAGAACAGCGGTTCTCAACCTGTGGGTCGCGACCCCTTTGGCGGTCGAACGACCCTTTCACAGGGGTCGCCTAAGACCATCCTGCATATCAGATATTTACATGACGATTCATAACAGTAGCAACATTAGTTATGAAGTAGCAACGAAAATAATTTTATGGTTGATCACAACATGAGGAACTGTATTTAAAGGGCCAGAAGGTTGAGAACCACTGTCTTAGAAAGAGTGGGGACAAATACTGGACATATTTCTGCAGTAGACACAGGGTGATATTCCCACCATTCTTTAGCTCCAGACATCTCTTGAGATGCTACAAAACCATGGAAAATCAAGCCAGAGCCTACAAATAACAGGCTAGTTTTGAATATGTAACATGCAGGTTGGAGAAATGGAAAATAATTTCTCCTACATCAACTGCTTGATAAGATTTACAAATTAAGCCCTGGACGGTTTGGCTCTATGTCAGCCTGAGGACTGAAGGGTCCCAGGTTCAATTCTGGTCAAGGGCATGTACCTTGGTTGCAGGCACATCCCCAGTGGGAGGCGTGCAGGAGGCAGCTGATGGATGTTTCTCTCTCATCGATGTTTCTAACTCTCTATCCCTCTCCCTTCCTCTCTGTAAAAAATCAATAAAATATATTTTTAAAAAAAGATTTACAAATTAAGAGAAAACATCTTGAGAATCTGGAGACAGTGCTGAGGCATTCTACTTACTTGGGAGAGGGGAGAGCTCAAAGTTGGGAATTTAGACACATAGAATGAGGCATTCCAGAAACAAATTTTAAAAATATCACAAATAAGAATTCATCTTTATAATTTTAACATATGTCTGCAAGCCCTAGTTGATCTTGCTTTTTCTTTTGAACTGTGTTGTTAAGCCACTATACCTAGTCATTCCATAATTACCCAAGCTCACCTTTAAAAGGGGCAAAGGGGCGGGCCTCAACCTCTGAGAAGCAGGAGGACACAACGATTCCAGTTAGAGCTGTGCTGATTAGTTGAAGATTGGGCCCAACATGCTTTAGTTTGCACAGACCAGCATTGTAATTCAGTGAGTGTTCAAAGCACAAGTCATCTGCTTCTCACGAGAACGGGGAATTTTACAAGGACAGGGGAACCCCCACATTCCTCGGCTGACAGGTATAGTAAACATATTGGTAGCATTCCCCAGGGAGACTTGAAGTGGAGCTTTTTCTCGAATCAAACACCAAAAGATGAGCTAGATTAGCCTCTGCAATTCAGATAATTCTCAAATGCAGCTACTTAGCACTCTGCGTCTGATTTATTGCAAAATGATGAGGCAGATACATGTGTTACCCAAAACATCAACACTCTGAACTGGAAAGGAAGTCTCCCTCAGTTGGCAAAGCGCCCCTAACTTCCAGGGTAGGAGGCTTTTAAGCTCGCAAGAGGAAAAGATAAGGATGAAGCCTTTCTCAGGTCAAGGGCCAAGTCCAAAGCTGGTAATACAAAAACCTTCTGCTAATAACTGGGCAGAAGACCCCAGATGTACCCTAACTTAGAAGAATGAATAAGCTGATTTGAGAGAGTAGCTTGCAACCTGGACCTAACACCATTCAGGAATGGCAGGCCCTGAGCTGGAGGGGACCCCAGGGGAACCCACTTTCCATCAGGGGGCCTCTCAAGTCCTGAGTTCCCTGGGAGGGTCCCTCCCAAAGGGCGGAGGAGGCAGAATGGGGAGGGAGCAGCAAACTGCCATTCTATAAGGAGAGGGACTGGGGCTTCCTCCAGGGTTCTGAGAGGACTAGGTGAGGGCACCATCAGTCACTGGGGCACAAAACTGACATGGTCTCAGCAGAATCTGAGACAGACAGACAGACACACACACACACACAGACACACACACACACACACACACACACACACACACACCCACCCCACCGGGTTAGAAACCTGGGAGAAGCTCCAGGGAAGTTCACAGAAAGAAAGAATTTGCCAACTCACTTCGCCCTGTAACCACAGCTGGCTCCCCTGCTCCTGGAAAAGCCCTTTAAGCCTTTACACGTGAAGCCCTGTCTACCATTTAGGTCTTTCGCCCTCACCTGTAACTCAGGTGACTCAGATGAGGAAAAAAATCAATGGGAAAATCAAAAGACACAAGACAGGGCTAGCCTCTCAGGGAACTCAAGCCAGTCCCTAACGTTTCTCTACTGTCCGTTTCTGAAAACAGAAACTACTGGGAGTGAGATTCCTTGGGAATCTGAGCATTCGCCTTTCTTGCTCTCTCCCAGGGGAAAATAAATATAGTAACAGTACTTCCTCTGTCAGGTTTGGCAGAGACGAGTCCGGGACAAGGAAAGTGCAAGAGGCTTTTCCCAAAAAAAAGGGGGGCAGACGGCGCCCGCTGCGTCCCGTCGAGGAGCAGCCCTTTAAAGTGTTTTTCAAAAGGTCTGCAATCCGAGGCTTCTAGACTCCAGCCCAGGGCTCAGGGCACGGGTGCGAGCTGGGCACGGGGCACAACCCGGGCCGGCCCGCCCACCAGGATTTGGCCAAGATCCCGGGCCTGGGCCAAACCCAAAACTTGCCCAGCTGCGCACTGGGCTAAGCCCTCTGGCAGAGGCGCTCCACCTGCCGGGCACGCCATTCGGCCCCCAATCCCTGCACCCTCCCCTGCTTGGACGGGGTGGGGCGCGGGTGAGGGGGAGAAGGGCTCGAAGGAAAACGGTTACCCGAGCTGCGGGACGGCTGGGGCGGCCTCAGGTGCGAGTGGGGCTGTGCGCCCACCCACCTCCCAAGTGCATCTGCGCGCAGGCTTTCCCGGGGTCCCCAGGAAGCCTTCCACTCCCGCGGGCGCCAGGGCAAGAAGCTCCAACAACTCGCCCCTTTGCCCCGAAGCCGCCCCGGACGGTTCCGACCTCCTTCGGGCCTCCTCCGGTCCCAGCATCGTTCTGGGGCGGCCGGGACTTGGGGGCGAGTCGCAAAGCCCACCCTCTCTCCTCCAACAGGTGAGAAGCTGCGCCAAGCCGACCCCAGCCCTCCGCCCCTGGGGAGGAGCAAAGGGCCT